GTGAGTTCTGAGAGGGGGGAGCGTGGGGGGACATCACGAGGTTCAGGGAGGCCTGGATGTGGGTTGGGTAATTCCAAGCAGAAATGGGCTGGGATGGATGGAAATGGGTGGAAGTGGATGGGGGGGGGGTGGGGGGGGTGATGGATGGATGATGGATGATGATGGATGGATGATGGATGATGGATGGATGATGGATGATGGATGATGGATGGATGATGGATGGGTGGATGGATGGATGGATGGATGGTGGATGGATGGATGATGGACGGAGTAGCCCTGAGGAGGACTTTAGGGTGCTGGGTGTGGAGAAGCTCCCCATGATGTCCAGCTCTGGGGCAACACCACAATCCCTGGCAGTGTTCAAGGCCAGGTTGGACACAGGGGCTTGGGGGCTGCCCGGGGCAGGGGTTGGAGCTGGAGGAGCTTTAAGGTCCTTTCCAACCCAAACCATTCCCTGATCTTGGTGGAGCAAATCCCCAACTCCAGGTGGGATTTACAGCTCCTGGTTTGGGTTTTGCTTTGGGAACCATCCTCACCCCATTGGTCAACAGTTCACTACGAGGTTGAACCAGGTGGCTTTGGTGTCGTCACGGCTCCTTCTCCCCCTTCCCACCAGGAACCTGGAAGCTCCTCTGGAAAGCCTGGAACTGGCCTTCTGCTACCTCCTTCCCGGTGACCTCACCTTCCTGTCCCAAAGCGTCCACGCTCCAGCCCTGAAGAAGCTGGACTTGAGCGGCCACCACTTCACCGAGACCCTTCTCCAGCCCCTGTGCTCCCTCCTGGAGAACTCCTCCTCCCTCATGCACCTGGATCTCATGGAATGCCAACTCACGGACTCCCGCTTGGAAGCTCTTCTCCCGTCTCTTTGCCGTTGCTCCCGGCTCCGATGCTTGGGCCTCTTTGGCAACCCTCTGTCCACACCGGGTCTCAAGACCCTGTTACGCCAAACCTGCGTCCTGCAGGACCTCTGCCTCGTGGTCTACCCTTACCCCGTGGACTGCTACAGCCGGGACACACCGCGGCCACCGTCGGCCTCCTCCGGGATCTTGGAGGACACTTTGGATGAGGAGCGTTTCACCGCCGTCAGCGCCGAGCTCTGCCGGATGCTGGTGAGCTCCGGCAGGGACAACGCCGTGTGGACCGCGAGCCTCTGCCACCACAGCACCCTCGACTACTTCGCCCTGTGAGCCCACGGCCCCGCTCCCACCCCGAAACTGGGGGGTCCCCTTGTTACGGAGCCTCTTGGGCAGCTTCCCTGAGCTTCCTCCTCGTTTTGGTGCCACTCTGGCACCTTCTCCAGGTCATCTCCTCGTTTTGGAGCTTTGTTGGCATCTCTACAGGGTTTTCTCCTCGTTCTGGAACTGTTTTGGCACCTACCTGGGCTTTTCTCCTCATTTTGGAGCTGTTTTGGCACCTTCTCCCTGAGGCTTCTCCTTGTTTTGGTGGGTTTTGGCACCTCCCTGAGGTTTCTCCTCGTTTTGGTGCCACTTTGGCAACTTCTCCCTGAGGTTTTCTCCATGTTTTGGAGCTTTTTTGGCATCTGCCTGAGGTTTCTCCTTGTTTGGTGGGTTTTGGCATCTCCCTGGGGTTTTCTCGTTTTGGTGTCACTTCGGCACCTTCCCCTGGGGTTTTCCCCCTCATTTTGGTGCCTTTTTGGCACCTACCTGGGGGTTTCTCCTAGTTCTGGTGCTGCTTTGGCACCTTCTCCCTGAGGTTTCTCCTCATTCTGGAGCTCTTTTGCCACTTTCTCCCCGCTGCTCCCACCACGTCTCCGGAGCCGACATTCCAGCTCCGACATTCCTCCTTACCCGGGTTCATTAACACAAGAGATTCCTTAATAAATCCTGTTGCTTGGAAGGGCTCATGGCAAAGAACCCGGCACCGCGGCGCCGTTTATTGTCACACTCCCCCAGAACCCCACCCTCAGGTCCCATCCCCACATCCCATCCCTGCATCCCGAATTCCCATCAGGAATCAGCTCAGTGCCCCTGGTTTAAGCTTCTTTAGGTGGTCTTGGCCACCATGGTGGTGGCACCAGACCAACTCTGGGCTCCGACTGGTGGCGATGGGGACACTGGGGATCCCGGGCTCAGCTCTGGCACGTGGAGATGGGAATATCCGAGGATTCCCTGGCACTTCCAGCACGGAGCAACGGCAGCAACTCCTCAGTGAGCCGGTAACTCCGACCTTCCCATAGGAAGTGTGTTGGCGGCTGCTCCTGCCCGTGGTCATACTGGAAGCTGGAGCTCCATTCCAAAGCCAGCGCCGAGCGCACCAGCCCCACGCCGCCGGATTTGGCCGGTGCCGGATGATAGAGCCGCCCGTTTTCCGGGAATACCATCAGCTTTTCCGGTTGGAATGGCACCACCAGGCGCTCCCCACCGCCGCAGTAGGAGAGGAGCCGGGAATCTCCGGGCAGGAGGTGGGTGAAGACGATGGGACGATCCTCGCAGCGCAGGAAGTTCCGCTCCCGCCCGCACCGGGATAGGAACGGGAATTCCGCCTCGTAGCGCCCGCTCCGGTTGTGCTCCAGCTGCTTGAAGAAGACGCTCCGGCATGCAACGTC